AAAAACAAAAAAAGATTATGTTTCTGATCATATTGATATGTAATAGTCCATTTTTACAGTTGTGTGCTTGGTTACCAAGCCTTTGAACAAGAGCGATGGCTAAGGGTGACCTTATTATGATAAAAACATTGCTGCTTTCAAATGCAAATCACTTTGTTTTATCGTCACTAGATACTGGTCTCTATCACAAAAAGGTCACCTTCAGCCTCACTCCAAATCAAAGGCTTGGCAACTAAGTACACAACTCTAAAATGGCCTATTAAGAGAGTTTGCATGAAAGGTAAATGTTTTGTCAACATCAAGTCTTAAAGTCAGTTATGAAGTAAATCTTCATAACTGACTTTAAATTTGATCTGGGAGTTAAAGGGTTAACTAAACTAATGTACCAATAGTGGCATGGATAGTATAACTAAGTCAAATTGGCTAAAAGGTGTAATATCATTAATAAGTCTCTCGGTAATACCTTTTCCCACGTTTTTTTAATCCCACACATTTAAAGTATAAGCTGACAAGTTCCCATTGCAATAAATACCCTTCTTTGTATTCTCTCCCTTAAAACATCAAATTATGGAATATTTCCATTATACAAATGGTTAAAAATTCAAGATTCCTTCAAAGGATACAGCTAATCCCTTATCACACAAAGTGATTGCTTCTTCAAATCTCTTCAGTTCAACACAGGCAGCGGCTCCTGTAGACAACAACACAAAGAAGCATATTATTACTGTAGCTCAATTCTAAGAAAAGAATCTGAAACCAATGAAAGTTAAATCATTACAGACCTTAGGAAAAAAAAAACAAAACAAAACAAAAAAACTAAATAGAAAAGAATAAACAGGCCCTATTAGGTTTTAGTTAGATTAGCTTTTGACAACTGAAACTTCTAACAACATTTAAACTGGGACTGACAATTATCACAAAATCACTATGACGTAATTATAGAATAGAATATAAGAAATGCCATGTGAAAATGGAAAAATGAGACCCATTTTCTAAAATAAGATATATATAATAGTACAATTTTTTGGTTGATTTTTTTAGAACTTGGTTATTGATATCAATACTTAAGTTTCCCTTTAGTTTGAGTTGACATATTTGATTTACTCAATCAGTTGATAATTGATTCTTAGGAAGTGACTCAAACTAAGGTTTGAAATTCACCAAGAATAAGGTTAACTCATGCTGTCTCTTTAGTTACATTATTATTGCATGCATTATAGCACTTGAAGTTGAGTTACATTTGACAAATGAGGAAATTTTCATACAGTTTTGAGCTAAGTCCTGATCCTTACTTCTTTTTAAGACAGCTAGATAGTGACTAAACATATCTGACACCACTACCTCACTCTTTGAGTGTAAGGAACTAAAATACCCATGCTGAAATTTTGCTTTGCATTCCGCATTGAGTCCTTCATCCAACTTTAAATAATATTCTCATCATAATAAATGGAAAGTAATGGCATAGCAGTCAAGAGCTGGATTCAAATGTACAACCAGGTGGTCTTGACCTCTTAATTAAAGCCAATTGATAC